AGCAGACTCTGCAGTGGGGACAGAGGGAAGGTGAAGAAATTTGGCAGCATGTGACCTCCAGAAGAAGAAAGAGGAGCATCCATGTACCAGCAATGGAGATACAGGTGAGCAATCATTTCCATGTTCTCTCCAGAGGTACTAAATGTGGAGAGTGGAGTAGATGATACATCTGAGGGAAGGGAGCAGAAAGAGACTCCACTGATTGGAAGGCATGAGATGCTCTGTCCTAGGTATGGGGATTCTATGACCACCACTACCAAGAGGAGGCGGCGGGTGGTGGTGGTCGGGACTCCCTCCTCAGGGGGACTGAGTCATCTATCTGCCACCCCGACTGGGAAATCCGAGGGGTCTGCTGCTTGCCAGGAGCTAGGATTCACGATGTGACGGAGAGACTGCCGAAACTCATCAAGCCCTCGGATCACTACCCCATCCTGCTTCTCCACATGGGCACCAATGATATTGCCAAGAATAACCTTGAGTGGATCACTGCAGACTACGTGGCTCTGGAAAGAAGGATAAAGGAGTTTGAGGCGCAAGTGGTGTTCTCGTCCATTCTCCCTGTGCAAGGAAAAGGCCTGGGTAGAGACCGTCGAATCGTGGAAGTCAACGAACGGCTACGCAGGTGGTGTCGGAGAGAAGGCTTTGGATTCTTTGACCATGGGATGGTGTTCCAAGGAGGAGTGCTAGGCAGAGACGGCCTCCACCTAACGAAGAGAGGGAAGAGCATCTTCGCAAGCAGGCTGATAACCTAGTGAGGAGGGCTTTAAACTAGGTTCACCGGGGGAAGGAGACCAAAGCCAGCCCTGAGGTAAGTGGCGAAATTGAATACCGGGAGGAAGCACAAGCAGGAGCTCACAAGAGGGGAGGGCTCCTGTCTCATACTGAGAAAATGGAACGATCAGCGAGTTATCTTAAGTGCCTATACACAAATGCAAGAAGCCTGGGAAACAAGCAGGGAGAATTGGAAGTCCTGGCACTGTCAAAGAACTATGATGTGATTGGAATAACAGAGACTTGGTGGGATAACTCACATGACGGGAGTACTGTCATGGATGGATATAAACTGTTCAGGAAGGACAGGCAGGGCAGAAAAGGTGGGGGAGTTGCATTGTATGTAAGAGTATGATTGCTCAGAGCTCCAGTATGAAACTGCAGATAAACCTGAGAGTCTGTGGATTAAGTTTAGAAGTATGAGCAACAAGGGTGATGTTGTGGTGGGAGTCTGCTATAGACCATCAGACCAGGGGGATGAGGTGGATGAGGCTTTCTTCCAGCAACTAACAGAAGTTACTAGATCACAGGCCCTGGTTCTCATGGGAGACATTAATCACCCTGATATCTACTGGGAGAGCAATACAGCGGTGCACAGACAATCGAGGAAGTTTTTGGAAAGTGTAGGGGACAATTTCCTGGTTCAAGTGCTGGAGAAACCAACTAGGGGCAGAGTTCTTCTTGACTTGCTGTTCACAAACCAGGAAGAATTAGTAGGGGAAGCAAAAGTGGATGGGAACCTGGGAGGCAGTGACCATGAGATGGTCGAACTCAGGATCCTGACACAAGGAAAAAAGGAGAGCAGCAGAATATGGACCCTGGACTTCAAAAAAGCAGACTTTGACTCCCTCAGGGAACTGATGGGCAGGATCCCCTGGGAGACTAACATGAGGGTCAAAGGAGTCCAGGAGAGCTTTCTGTATTTTGAAGAATCCTTATTGAGGTTACAGGAACGAACCATCCCGATGTGTAGAAAGAATAGTAAATGTGGCAGGCGACCAGCTTGGCTTAACAGTGAAATCCTTGCTGATCTTAAATACAAAAAAGAAGCTTAGAAGAAGTGGAAGATTGGACAAATGACCAGGGAGGAGTATAAAAATATTGCTCAGGCATGCAGGAGTGAAATCAGGAAGGCCGAATCACACTTGGAGTTGCAGGTAGCAAGAGATGTTAAGAGTAACAAGAAGGGTTTCTTCAGGTATGTTAGCCACAAGAAGAAAGTCAAGGAAAGTGTGGGCCCCTTACTGAATGAGGGAGGCAACCTAGTAACAGAGGATGTGGAAAAAGCTAATGTACTCAATGCTTTTTTTGCCTCTGTCTTCATGAACAAGATCAGCTCCCAGACTGCTGCACTGGGCAGTACAGTATGGGGAGGAGGTGACCAGCCCTCTGAGAAGAAAGAAGTGGTTCAGGACTATTTAGAAAAGCTGGATGAGCACAAATTCATGGGGCCGGATGCCAGGGCCACCCAGAGGATTCAGGGGGCCTGGGGCAAAGCAATTTCAGAGGCCCCTTCCATAAAAAAAAGTTGCAATACCATAGAATACTATATTCTAGTGGGGGCCTGGGGCAAATTGCCCCACTTGCCGCCCCCCCCCCCCCGCCCACCGGGCGGCCCTGCCAGATGCACTGCATCCGAGGGTGCTAAAGGAGTTGGCAGATGTGATTGCAGAGCCATTGGCCATTATCTTTGAAGACACAAGGTGATTGGGGTAGGTCCCAGATGACTGGAAGAAGGCTACTGTAGTGCCCATCTTTAAAAAAGGGAAGAAAGAGGATGCGGGAAACTACAGGCCAGTCAGCATCACTTCAGTCCCTGGAAAAATCATGGATCAGGTCCTCAAGGAATCAATTCTGAAGCACTTAGAGGAGAGGAAAGTGATGAGGAACAGTCAGCATGGATTCACCAAGGGGAAGTCGTGCCTGACTAACCTAATTGCCTTCTATGATGAGATAACTGGCTCTGTGGATGAGGGGAAAGCAGTGGATGTGTTATTCCTTGACTTTAGCAAAGCTTTTGATACGGTCTCCCACATTATTCTTGCTGGCAAGTTAAAGAAGTATGGGCTGGATGAATGGACTATAAGGTGGATAGAAAGCTGGCTAGATCGTCGGGCTCAGCAGCTAGTGATCAATGGCTCCATGTCTAGTTGGCAGCCGGTTTCAAGCGGAGTGCCCCACGGGTCGGTCCTGGGGCCGGTTTTGTTTAATATCTTCATTAATGATTTGGAGGATGGCGTGCACTGCACTCTCAGCAAGTTTTTAGATGACACTAACATGGGAGGAGTGGTAGATATGCTGGAGGGTAGGGATAGGATACAGATGGACCAAGACAAATTAGAGGATTGGGCCAAAAGAAATCTGATGAGGTTCAACGAGGACAAGTGCAGAGTCCTGCACTTAGGATGGAAGAATCCCATGCACTGCTACAGACTAGGGACCGAATGGCTAGGCAGCAGTTCTGCAGAAAAGGACCTAGGGGTTACAGTGGACGAGAAGCTGGATATGAGTCAACAGTGTGCCCTTGTTGCCAAGAAGGCTAACGGCATTTTGGGCTGTATAAGTAGGGGCATTGCCAGCAGATCGAGGGACATGATCATTCCACTCTATTTGACATTGGTGAGGCCTCATCTGGAGTACTGTGTCCAGTTTTGGGCCCCACACTACAAGAAGGATGTGGAAAAATTGGAAAGAGTCCAGCGGAGGGCAACAAAAATGCTTAGGGGTCTGGAGCACATGACTTATGAGGAGAGGCTGAGGGAACTGGGATTGTTTAGTCTGCAGAAGAGAAGAATGAGGGGGGATTTGATAGCTGCTTTCAACTACCTGAAAGGGGGTTCCAAAGATGATGGAGCTAAGCTGTTCTCAGTGGTGGCAGATGACAGAACAAGGAGTAATGGACTCAAGTTGCAGTGGGGGAGGTTTAGGTTGGATATTAGGAAAAACTTTTTCACTAGGTGGGTGGTGAAGCACTGGAATGGATTACCTAGGGAGGTGGTGGAATCTCCTTCCTTAGAGGTTTTTAAGGTCAGGCTTGACAAAGCCCTGGCTGGTATGATTTAGTTGGGAATTGGTCCTCCTTTGAGCAGGGAGTTGGACTGGATGACCTCCTGAGGTCCCTTCCAACCCTGATATTCTATGATTCTATGAGAGGTAACAGAGACAGAGGAAATTCAATTCAGTGCTAACTCTTCGTTGGGGATGGAAGAGCAACAAAAATGATTAAAGATCTAGAAAACATGAGCTATGGGGGAAGATTGAAAAAACTGGATTTGTTCTGTCTGGAGAAGAGAAGGCTGAGAGGGGACATGATAACAGTTCTCAAATACATAAAAGGTTGTTACAAGGAGGAGGGAGAAAAATTGTTCTTCTTAACCTCTGAGGGTAGGACAAGAAGTAATGGGCTAAAATTGCAGCAAGGGTGGTTTAGGTTGAACATTAGGAAAAACTTCCCAACTGTCAGGGTGGCTAAGCACTGAAATAAATTGCCTAGGGAGGTTGTGGAATCACCATCATTGGGGATTTTTAAGAGAAGGTTAGACAAACACCTGTCAGGGATGGTCTAGATAATACTTAGTCCTGCCTTGAGTGCAGGGGACTGGACTAGATGACCTTGAGAGGTCACTTTCAGTTCTGTGATTCTATGGAATATGGGTGACCATTTATAATATTATGGATACCAATATTACAAAATTGCAATGAATCTTACAAGATATGCCATGTATGATATCAGTCAAAAAGTTATGATTTGCTAAGTATGCTAATTTTGTTTATAAGCATGTATCATCTTTGCATCGTGCATTATAAATGTGTGATTTATCTGTGCTGTGTTTCTAGGTCACACCCCCAGACAGATTGGCATCAGCACTATACAGTCTGTTTGATGGCCCATCAAGGGTAATCAGCTATACCAGTGTTTCTCAAACTGGGGTCCGTGAGGGTACTCCAGGGGGTCCACAGGCCACCCTGACCAAGTCCTCCACCTCCCTCCCAGTGCCTTCTGCACGCTGGGGAACAGCTATTCAGTGGCATGCAGGAGGCGCTGGGGGGGGCGGGGATAGAGGGCGCTCAGGGGAGGCAGTGGAAAGAAGCAGGGAAGAGGAGGAGAAGGGGTGGAGCGGGAAGAGGTGGGGTGGGGCCTTGGGGGAATGGATGGAATGGGGGTGGGGCCTCGGGCTGAGCGGGGGGGTTGGCGGTCTGTGAAAAATTTTAAATCAAAATGGGGATCCTTGGGTTGCTAAAGTTTGAGAACCGCTAAGCTCTACAATGGACCCATTGAGAGAAGCCAGGGGCTATGCCCATGAGTCAGCAGGACATGTAGGGACATGCCTATGGACAGGGGACTCTAAGTATCTTTCCATGCCCATGTGCTGTAAGCTTGTGTATGGGATAGAGGAAGTACAAACCATATGGAAAAGGATATAAAAAGGCAGCTGCATCACCTCCATATGTCTTCAATCCTGCATCTCACCTCTGCAGTAACTTCTCTACAAACGGACAAAGGTCTGATAGACCCTCTCTAAGCTTTGGGTGTGTTCCAGAGGGACTTTACAAGCCAGAAAACTCGCCAACACTGCTATGAACCTGATATTTGGACCTTGAAGTCATATGTATCAGATTGCTCTGATCATTTAACAGCTCTCTTTTCTTTTTTTTTCATGTATAATAAAACCACTAGTTTTAGATACTAAAGGACTGGCTGGCAGTGTGGTATTTTCCACACTAATCCAAACTAATATTGCCCTGGCAATGTGGCTGCCCCTTTGGGGATCAGAGGAACATTTTGTTAAGTGAATAGAGTTTTAAGTAACTTCTCACTTTACTGGACCTATCTGCTGATTGGGGGCCAGAAACTGGAATGCAATAAAGGGGGCTAAGGGATTTCTTTTTTTCAGCTTCTCGATAACCAGTGTGGGGGATCCGGAGCACAGATTGTGACTGGTTGGTGATTCTAACTACAGAGTTAACCAGCAGTTTTAGGGGAATCTGCTCTCCTTTTTGCAGCCTGCCCTGGCCATGGATTATACTCTGAGGTTCCTACTCAGCATTCATTCCGTCAAAATTCCCACTGATTCTACTTGAGTAAGGAGCTCAGAGTCCAGCCCTTTGATCTGAGTCTGACAGTGAGATACCTCCACTCCGGTGAGAGACCCATAAGGAGTGCGAAGCTGGAGAGATGGTTACAGCTACAAATGGTGTGAGTGCTGTTCGTGTACAGAGCGGTGCAGCCGTCTGGAGTCCAGGTGCCTTTCCCAGCGATGAATTTCCAGTGAACACAGAGAGCCTCTTCCTCCTCTTTCTTTGCCTGGAAACAAAAACACCCCATCCTCATCCTCACTGGATCATGGGGACAATACTGTTTCTTTTGTCACACATCTCTAATAGACAGTAATAAACCTGATCTCACCAACGGCTTCATGGCTTTCATTGTGCTGCATGTAACAGCCATTTGGGACTTCCCATTGGCAGTGGAAATACAAGCAAGATCCTCCAGCTCCAATAGCACAAGCCCCTGATCCTAGAGCTAAAGTGGTAATTCCCTTAACTCTGAGCACTGTGGGGTCTATGACACACAATTGTGCAGTTCCATTTTGAGCCAGGGCTGCCCGGAGGGGGGGGGGCAAGTGGGGCAATTTGCCCCAGGTCCCGGGCCCCACAGGGGCCCCCACGAGAATATAGTATTCTATAGTATTGCAACTTTTTTTTATGGAAGGGGCCCCCGAAATTGCTTTGCCCCCGGCCCCCTGAATCCTCTGGGCAGCCCTGTTTTGAGCCATTAAAAGGCATTCACACACCTGCCCACAAATACCCACATGCACTCTAGCAAGTTCATTACTTCATCAAAGAAGGCACCATCTCATGCTGTTTCCCTGAACTCTGCTATCTATAGGGCAGAGATTCCCAAACTGTGGGGTGCGCCCCCCTAGGGGACATAGACGAACCTTCTGAGGGACATGACAGGTCCTGGGTCAGCCCCCAGGAGGGGCGGAATGAGAATACAACCCAGCCCCTCCCCACCCTGAGCTCTGCTGTAGTCCCACCCGTAGCCGCATCCCTGACTTCCAGCCCAATGTCTGGCACCGTCCCCAGCCTCAGCATGGCTCCACTTCCAGCCCCTTACGGCTCCATTCCTGGCCCAGGGCCCAGGCTGGGAGCAGGGGAGGGGCTGGGAGCGGAGCCGCACCTGGCCATGGGCTCAGTTGCTGGCCCCCACCACAGCCCAGCTGCTGCTTCACTCCCAACGTCAACCTTGGCCCCCGGCCATGGCTCTGGCCCTGCTCCCGCCCCCGAGACCCAACCCCGATGCGGATGCAGCCTCAGCCCCCTTACTCTTGTCCGTGTCCTCTCCCCCTGCCCCCGAACCGTGGACTGAACCCAGCCCCAGCTCAGAGGGAGGGGTGTGGACAGGGTAAGGGGGGGTGATCCTCAAAAGTTTGGGGACCACTGCTATAGGGAGTTGCTTTCCAATTATTCCTGCTCTAAGGGGTGAGCCAGGCACAGTTGTTATTTTGAGCGTTTTACATGATGAATCATAATCCAATCAGGCCTGGTGTGAACCCTATGTAACGTCCTCCAGCAAAACAGCCCCAGTGTCAGGACTGAAGAAGCTCCCTCTGTTTCTCAGATAACTGTTCCTCAGTCCAGAAAGGCAACACAACTCAAATGCCCTGCAGAAGACGCACCTTTTAAGTGACCAACTGGAGCCCCGGGCACAAAACAAAGTAAAAGGATCTACACTCACCTGTCTATGGCGCAGGGTGAAGTTCACAGGTTTGGAGAGGTTCATGAGCCTCCCATCTCTGACAGCCCCACTCACCACCCTGGAATTCAGGTGAAAATTCCTCAATTTCTCATCAGCCATTAGATCTCCCTCGTTGAGAAATCTCTTGTCAATGATGGAGTCCAGGGTGGAGTAAGAAATAAAAGCAACAGCCACAGAATCTGAAAACATGAAATGATACTTCATCATAGAGCCAGGGACACTGAGACAAAGAAAGAGCAAGCCAGGTGCCAAAGGTCACAGTGAGTGTGGGGAAGAGCTGGGGAAAGAACCCAGGAGTCCTGGCTAGCAGTTTGAGCTTTAACTACTAGAGCATGTTGCCTCCTCCCTCTTCTTCCACAGAAGCACTTCTGTGTTGGAAACATTGGTGTGCACTATGGGAGTGTGATTCCTAAAGTGCACTAATGTACATTAAAGCACACTAGGGAACCTTTAGTGCACACTAGTAGGGTCTATAAAGACCAATTAATGCACAGTACGTTAGTGCTCTTTAGAAATCATACCCCCATACTGCACATTATACAGCTACATAGACAGTCCTAGGTGAAAGGCACTGAGGTGAAGCCATAGTTTTTCTTGGTTAGGAGAGGCAGAGGGGTTGGTTAGTGAGGAGCTTTCCCTGGTGATAAAGAATTAAGAACCAGTCCCAGTTAGGTCATACTTGCCTGAAAATCAGAGTAAAATTGGTAAATATTATCCTGGTTCCATTCTAGGACGTCACACACGTCAACCTGGGACCTAGCTGGGCTCATCATCAGAACATCATGTGTTGGGCGAACGGATCTCTGATCTTTCCATTCTCTGGACCAGTTCATATGCCTATCAAAGCTTCTCTCTCCTCCCTGCCCCTCCCACTGCTCGGTTTTCTTGCTGCAGGACAACCAGGAATGAAGGGCTCTGCAGAGCTCAATGGCCTGAGAAACACTGGCTCAGCCAACAAGGTCCACACTAGTGTCAGGATATCAGAGGCAAGCAAGCCAGCCTGGGGTGACAGGAAGGGGAGAACTAGGGCTGGGGTTTGGTGTCTAGTTAAAGGGGTGAGTGCCTGGGAAGCACTAGGATGGTACCTTCTGTGGCTGCTCTGGTGATCGTATCGCAGTGAATGTCCATTGTCTCCTCCTGAGCTCTCAGCCTGAAGACATCATCACAGGGACCAGCAGCCGGGACAACGAGGAGCGTCTTGATTGCTGGGGAGGGAAATGGCAAAGCCTCTTGCTGCAAGGGCAAGGCAGGTTCGGAGCTCCACTCTCTCGGAATCCCAACACCCCCTCCCCCTTTCTCCTCACTTCCATTTATCTGTGTTTCCCTGAGCCCCTCTGGCTGACCTTCTATGATCCATCATCCCTGCGTCCCCATGAAGATGTCAATGTGCCAAGAGGCAGAAGACAACTTCTCCCTGCTGCCTCACCTCTGCGCTTTAGCAGGGGAAGCAGCAAGAAGGGGTTTTGCTAGGGGAGGGGGTGAAAGGAGGACGCAATGGCAGCTGCCTGTGGCGACAGGACATTGGCATTGCTTTTAAAACCCTCTCAGGCAGCTGCCATTGCTGCAAAGCCCCTGGGCTGGGTTTATGGGTGGCGGGTAGCATAGGCCGGAGAAGGCTGTGCCTCCCCAAACAGCCTGGCATAGCCCCGGCCATGCTCCGCCCCCAGACCCTCTCCTGCCTGTTTCCAGTTCCCTTCCAGCTCTTCTGTGGCTGAGAGGCTGGGCCAGGCAGGCTCCAAGGCCCACGGCTGGGAGGGCTGGGGTTGGGGTTAGGGCCATGCCACGTCACACTGCCTGCCCATCCGCCCGGCGCTGGAGTTGGGGACAATCTGACTGGCCGGTGCTCCAGGGCTGGGGGTGCTCCCACTGTGCTGCCCCCCCCGCGCTACGGGGCTGGGGTAGGGGTGCCAGTGGAAGAGAGGGGGTGCAACGGGAGGGATGGGCCTTGGGCAGAGAGGGAGGGGCCGGGGACTAGCCTCTCTAAATGGCTCATTCACCTGCCACCCATGGCTGTGTTATAAACCCTGAGAGAGGATGCAGTGGTGTTCTGTATTGAAAAGAGTATAACCCACTATCTCACAGCCTCCATGAGGCAATGTGGGAGCCTCCCATCCTCCTCACCCATAGACTCTGTTGTCACGGTCTGGGTCGTGATCTCCGGAGACATCAAAGCAGCTGTCAGTGCAGCCAATTCCACACTCTGCAGGAGGAACGTCATGGTGGAGGCAATTTCCCTCTTGTTCTCGTTCCCACCAGCACTGAGAGTGAAGCTATTCAGGAAGGAACCAAAGGGGCCAGCAACTTCCTGAGTTTGGGAAAGGAAACACCCTGAGAAGGAGGGAGGACTTCAGTGGTTCATGAGCTACATTCTTCAGACTCCCAGGGGAACAATGACCCTCTTAGGGACATACGGGTTCATAGTGACCTTCCCCACTCAGAGGGACTGCAGCATTCTCAAAGAGGGAGCCCTTTACAGAGCGAGTGAGGCTACTGAGGCTTGCTCAGGACTCCACAGTAGGCTGAAGCCAGGGGAGGGCTAACGCCCTGTGTCATTCCCTCCTCATCCCTGGTCCCTTCAGTGTAGGTGCCAGAGAACATTGCAACAAATCAGCAGGCATCTAGGTTCTCTCTGTGTTACCCCCGAGAGACTTTGGATCTTCTTAGAACCAGTGGGGACAGAACCCAGATCCCCTGCCACTTAAGCTAGAGAGCATGCACATGCGCACACACACCCCTTTTCTGAAGAGCAGCCCCCAAAGTGAGACTGCTAATCCACACATGTAGGGGCAGAACCTCTGACCTGCAGCGATACTGCTCTGTCCTGGGCACACATGGTCTCCAAATTCACTAAGGTTGAATTCACGAAGGAGCAAAATTCACTGGTGCTCCCCTGGAGAACAATCAGAGAAAATGGGTTATTTCTGAAAGCATGGAAACGCCACCCAAAATTAAGGTTAATGGTTCTGCAGAGCGATGTTGCTTTGACCTGTGGCTGGCTGACTGTCCCACTAAAATGCTTACAGATTACGACATGTTAAGGCTAAGTGTGGTGAAGCCCACAGACACGCTGATATTTCACATAGTATTGAAGCTTTCATGCATATTAATGAATTTCTCCTTCTCTTCCTCACAGGGGTTTGTATGGATTATTATCCTCCTTCTACAAGTGGGGAACCGATGCACAGAGAGACTGAGAAAATTGCCCAAAGTCACACAGTGAGTCTGGGGCAGAGATGGGATCCGAACTCTGACTTCCTGTATCTCTGGCTGGTGCCTTAACTGCAGAACTCTGATGTACAGTGGGGGCATCACACACCTAAGCATGATACGGTCAAGTTTTCAGAAGCACTTTGTGTTGGACTGATTCTGCTCCCACTGCAGTCAGTGGTAAACCCTGGATAAGCAAGAATTCTCAGGCTCAAAGTTTTGTGTGTACTCTTTGTGAAAACCCTCAAAGCCCAAATAAACCCCTTCCATGTACCTGCAGAAAGACATCTTTGCACATCTCCATCTGCTCTTTTATCTCTAGAGTCTCAGTCTGGCATTTAAAGGTAACATCTAGCAACAGAAAGAGAGGCAGGACAATTACATCAGGTCAACATCTGCAGGGCTAAGGTTTTCAGAAGTGTCTCATGATTTGATTTAAAAGGGCCCTGACTTTCAAAAGTACTGAGTACTCACCCTCTGAAAATCAGGCGCCTTTAAGGTCTCAGGTTAGGCAACAAAATCAAAAGGCAATTTTGAAAACCTTGGCCTAAGTGACACACTAAGGCCACACACACAGGGACTCTAGGACAGAGCTGGGAATGGAAGCTTGATCATTTGAGTCCTAGCCTAGCATTTTAGCCACAAGGGCCATTCTTTCTTCCTACCAGGCAGGGCCGCCCGGGGAGGAGGGGGGGGATCAAGTGGGGCCCCAGGTCCCCGGCCCCAGAGGGGCCCCCACGAGAGTATAGTATTCTATAACTTTTTTTTATGGAAGAGGCCCCCAAAATTGCTTTGCCCCTGGCCCCCTGAATCCTCTGGGCGGCCCTGCTACCAGAATACGAAGTTGATGATCTACTGAAACCCAGCAGGTGTTTTCTTCCTTTAATTCCACTGATCCCTTAAGCCCTGTCTATCTCACAACTTTCAACTGAGTCTGTAATCATTTAGCAATACATTCGGCCCTAAAAGCCTGGTGCGTGTCCACACATCACCTGGTTAATACTCACTTAAGCTTTGCTTGTGTAGCTCATTGATCAGTGTGTGTTATGTGTCCTCTAGGGGCTGGTCCACCGAGGGGCTGGTTCTGCCACAGCTCCTAGCTATGGGAGTTCATCCCTCAGCTCAAACAGTAGGGGGTCATGCAGTTACAAGATCATGGGTTTGATCCTTGGTGATAAACCAGATGACTGCTGTTACATCTATACTCGAGACGTTTCCCTTCCCCAGAAGTGTTCTAACCCTGCTATTGTACTTCTAAAAGGCCTGAGTCTCATCAAGGTATGTCTGCACTAGAAACGCTAAAGTGGCACAGCTGCAGCTGTAGTGTAGACACTGACTACAGTGGTGGAAGGGTTCTTCCATTGCTGTGGTAAATCCACCTCTGAGAGCTGGTAGCTAGGACAAGTCAAGAATTTTTCTGTTGACCTAGTGTTGCCTACACTGAGGCTTAGGCTGACTTATGGTTGACTGAAGTTTCAGGTGTTCAGCAGGCCTCAGTTACACTAAAAGCCTTATGTTGTGCTGGCCTGGAAAAGGCGGTTAAAGTGGGTGTAAATGGCTCCTAAGAATGCTCCCTGTGGAGGGACCCTCCACAGCTAGTGTGGAACTGGTAGAAGGGCCTTTACATGATCTTGGCTTCATATGCAAGGCAGATCAAGGATGTGATCAGAATGCACCACATGCTTCAGCTACTTTCTGGTTCTCAGGGGCCATGGGAATCAGAGGGTAAATTACAGCATCCCTGCATGGTCCCAGAATGCATAGAGCACAAAGGTGGCTTAAAGCTACCTTTTCCTCCACCCTTTCTATTCCCTGCCAAAAGCACAGGAGTGGCATAAGTAAGAATCAGGCACAAAATTCTCTTGGGTACCCAGAGGGCATTACAACCAAGTGTAGGAAGAAAAGTGCAACAGTTCTTAAACCAATTCAGAACAGCTGGTGAGCATCTGCCTAACTGCATCAGCTGGGCTGAAACTAGTTGGGTGCAGCTAGCAACACAGGCACAATCTTAGTCCTGGACTACACCTAAAACGTAGGTAGATCTAGCTATGTGAAAAATTCACACCCCTGAGAGACATAGTTAAGGCGTTCTAAGCCCAGTGTCGACACCATTAGGTTGACAGAAGAATTCTTCCATCAACCTAGATTCCACCTCTCGGCAGGTGGATTAACTACAGTGACAGAAAAACCCCTTCCATCGCTGTACCAAGTGTCTACACTACAGTGCTACAGAGGCACAGCTGCAGCGCCGTAGCTGTGCTGCTGTCACTGCTGTAGTATGGACACAGCCGAAGTAACTGTGGCTAGTGGTGGCCTAGGATGCCGTGCTGGGCCAAATTCTCAGCTGGTGTAACTCAATGGAGCTCTATCAAAATCAACAGACTTTACACCAGGCCCATGGTTGCCTCCCTGGTTGTGACACTGTTTTCTTTGCAGCATGGACAAAAACTGTGGTCAAAATAGATTTAAAACCCATGCTACTCACCCTCCCTGCAGGAACCTGGAATCCCATAGCTGTCCATGGCGGCAGTGCCAACACTCAGGAGCGCAAATGGAGAGCTGGGATGTTCCACAGCATGGGATCTGATGGCAGGTGCAAGCATATGCATGCTCCAAACGAACTCAGTGCCAGAGACTCGGTTCCACACCACATCCCTTACAGGCTGATTGTCTAGGATGATGGCGCCAGTCTCTGCTGTATTGGCCACCATCAAGGCAAAGTTCTCGAAGCCCTCCTGGGCATTTATAGAATACATCCGGCAGTAACTGGCAACATCTGGAACATTCATCAGGAAGGCGTGGGAGGAATTAGGGATAGCTGCGCCCACGCTGTAGAACACCACCTGGATGCCCACATTAGCAGAGATGTAGACTGGGATCGAGGGCTTGACAGGACGCTGGAGTACACTGCCTCCTGCTAGAGTAACAGTCTCTGCCTGTTCCCCTAGCTGATACAACACAGTTGTGCTCTGGGAAGCAGTGATGTAGACTATTTCATCTACTTTCTGCCAGGGTAAGGGAGGAATGATGTATGTTGTACCCCAGCTGCAAACTGGTAGGAGCTGCTCAAAGACATGGTTGCATTTTGTGCTAGTACAGAAACACACCTGGCCAACCAAGACAGCCACTGGCTTTTCTGAGACAATCCTGGTGCCAGACACATTTGCTATGCCTTGTAACCGGTAGCCTTGGAAAGCAAGGAGTATAATTTTCAGTGTGTCACCAGTGGAGTAGACCCGTGTTCCATAACGTAACTTGCCTTTCACATGGACCGTCACAAGGTTGCGGTCTTCGTATGTCATAACAGAGAACTCTGGGTAACTATCTAAGGATTCTGTAGGGGGAGTAACTATGTAGTGTTCATTTCCCAAGCAGGAGACAGGATACAGCACAGTGGTCTCAGGGTTCACATCTTTGTTGCTGACAGACACTACTGAGATATCTTTGTCAGCCTTGACTAGGACCACCTTGGAGAACTTGATAACACCCTTAATTCCCACTGACTCTGGTAGGCTGACCCGCACCATCTCTCCCCGATTTACCATAATCTTCTCCTCAAACCTTCCCCCATCACCCGTGTAATTGGAGATGGAAACAGACACTGAAGTGAAGGCAAAGTAACCAGTAATTTGCACTTCAAATTGACTAGAGTTCCCACAGTCGTCCATGTAGGAGGTGATGAATTCTCTTCCCAGAGTCTCAGTCTGACATGTGCCTGCAAGGAAAAATAGCAATAAATCCTTAGAGGTGGAGAGGGAAACTGTCAAAAGGTGGATAGAGTAAAAGGGACTGGATCAACTTTGTTCAGGCCAAAACCTAAGGCCCAGAATAAAAGAAAAGGTACTTGAAAAACCTTAATGCAGCTAGAAATTTTCCCCATTATATTTTAATCTAAATGAAAATATATTTTATTAATAGTAAACATTATTTTAAATAATTAAAAAGCACAACTTAGAGAGCTTAGCACCCAACAAAGGCTTTGGAACCAAACACGACTTCGGGGAATGTTCCAATCTGGATCAGAACTCGACAATTGTCCCTGGTCTCTCTAATAGTTCAGAACCAGAATCCTGGATCCAAACACTCATGGAAACACAGAAAAAATTCAGATCCAGATGCTCACTTAATGATTTGGACTCAGCTATAAGAATAATTGTTTGCCCTTCCCTAGCACCTCCTGTCTAAGCTCAAAACACTTTACAGACAGACATTAAATAATTCTCAGTCCCACCAGGAGATGGGTCAATATTACTGTCCCCACTGCACTGAGGGGGAAACTAAGGCACAGAAAGGGTTAGGAGCTTGCTCAAAGTAACCCCACAAATCAGCAGAAGAACTCTCAGTCTCTTGTACTCTAACCGTTAAAACCTACAACCATTCCCAGCATTGGGAATAGAACTTTAGTCTGTTGTGTTGATAAGGGCAGGTGCGTTGGGCCTCTTGGACTGAGGTGATAATAAAACCCTTTTGTACTGTTACAACATTAAACACATAAATGTGGTTGAGGGTCTTGTGTCAAGTTATCACTGGCACCTTCTCCTGTTGCAACCACCACCATTAAATAGAGAGAGAGAGAGAGAGAGAGAGAGAGACTAACCTTTTATTAAACACATATAAGAAACAGAGCAATAAAATTACAATTTTAAAAAGTTAAATAAAACTTTTATTTAATAAGTTTCCTTCATTTCCCTTTTAGTTATATAGGGCCAGATCCTCAGCTAGTGTAAATCAGTGTAGCACCACTGACTACAACAGACCTTTGCTGATTTACAAAAGATGAGGATTCTGCCCATTACCCCCAGCTAACATCCCACTTGGCTCTTTATAGAGAGATCCAGAAACATCGTATCTCCCAACAAACATTTTATCCTCACTCCCAGAGCTCGCTCTCTCTGCCCTGAGTGGAAAGAAAATTAAGGCCAAATGTAATATAACTTTTCATAAGAACGGCCGTACTGGGTCAGACTAAAGGTCCATCTAGCCCAGTATCCTGTCTACCAACAGTGGCCAATGCCAGGTGCCCCAGAGGGAGTGAACCTAACAGGTAATGATCAAGTGATCTCTCTCCTGCCATCCATCTCCATCCTCTGACAAACAGAGGCTAGGGATACCATTCCTTATCCATCCTGGCTAATAGCCATTAATGGACTTAACCTCCAAGAATTTATCCAGTTCTCTTTTAAACCCTGTTATAGTCCTAGCCTTCACAACCTCCTCAGGCAAGGAGTTCCACACGTTCACTGTGCGCTGCGTGAAGAACTTCCTTTTATTTGTTTTAAGCCTGCTGCCCATTAATTTCATTTGGTGACCCCTAGTTCTTATATTATGGGAACAAGTAAATAATTTTTCCTTATTCACTTTCTCCACATCACTCATGATTTTATATACCTCTATCATATCCCCCCTTAGTCTCCTCTTTTCCAAACTGTAAAGTCCTAGCCTCTTTAATCTCTCCTCATATGGGACCCGTTCCAAACCCTTAATCATTTTAGTTGCCCTTTTCTGAACCTTCTCTAGTGCCAGTATATCTTTTTTGAGATGAGGAGACCACATCTGTACGCAGTATTCAAGATGAGGGCGTACCATGGATTTATATAAGGTCCACATGTTTGTTGACCCCTTCAAAGAACTCTAATACATCAGAAAGACATGATTTCCTTTACAGAAACCATGTTGACTTTTGCCCAACAATTTATGTTCTTCTATGTGGCTGACAATTTTATTCTTTACAATTGTTTCCCGGTACTGACGTTAGACTTACCGGTCTGTAATTGCCAGGATCACCTCTAGAGCCCTTTTTAAATATTGGCGTTACATTAGCTATCTTCCAGTAATTGGGTACAGAAGCCAACTTAAAGGACAGGATACAAACCATAGTTAATAGTTTCTCAATTTCACATTTGAGTTCTTTCAGAACTCTTGGGTGAATGCCATCTGGTCCCAGTGACTTGTTACTGTTAAGTTTATCAATTAATTCCAAGCCCTCCTCTAGTGACACCTCAATCTGTGACAATTCCTCAGATTTGTCACCTACAAAGGACGGCTCAGGTTTGGGAATCTCCCTAACATCCTCAGCAGTGAAGAATGAAGCAAAGAATTCATTTAGTTTCTCCACAATGACTTTATCGTCTTTAAGCGCTCCTTTTGTATCTCAATCGTCCATGGGCCCCACTGGTTGTTTAGCAGGCTTTCTGCTTCTGATGTACTTAAAAAACATTTTATTATCTTCTGAATTTTTGGCTAGCTGTTCTTCAGCTTTTCTTATTACATTTTTACACTTAATTTGGCAGTGTTTATGCGCCTTTCTATTTACCTCACGAGCATTTGACTTCCCCTTTTTAAAAGATGCCTTTTTATCTGTGACTGCTTCTTTTACATGGTTGTTAAGCCATGGTGGCTCTTTTTTAGTTCTTTTACTGTGTTTTTTAATTTGGGATATACATTTAAGTTGAGCCTCTATTATGGTGTCTTTGAAAAGTGTCCATGCAACTTGCAGGGATTTCACTTTATTCACTGTACCTTTTAATTTCTGTTTAACTAACCCCCTCATTTTTGCATAGTTCTCCTTTCTGAAATTAAATGCCACAGTGTTAGGCTGCTGAGGTGCTCTTCCCACCACAGGAATGTTAAATGTTATTATATTATTATTACTATTTCTAAGCGGTCCTGTTATAGTTACCTCTTGGAGCAGATCCTGCGCTCCACTCAGGACTAAATCTAGAGTTGCCTCTCCCCTTGTGGGTTCCTGTACCAGCTGCTCCAAGAAGCAGTCATTTAAAGTATCAAGAAATTTTATCTCTGCATTTCGTCCTGAAGTGAAATGTTCCCAGTCAATATGGGGATAATTGAAATCCCCCACTATTATTGAGTTCTTAATTTTCATAGCCTCTCTAATCTCCCTTAGCATTTCATCATCACTATCACTGTCCTGGTCAGGTGGTCGATAATAGATCCCTAATGTTATATTCTTATTAGAGCATAAAATTACTATCCATAGAGATTCTATGGAACATGTGGATTCACTGAAGATTTTTACTTCATTTGATTCTACATTTTCTTTCACATATAGTGCCACTCCCTCCCGCCTCCCCCGCCCCCTACACAACCTGCTCTGTCCTTCCGATATATTTTGTACCCCGGAATGATTGTGTCCCATTGATTGTTCTCACTCCACCAGGTTTTTATGATGCCTGTTATATCAATATCCTCCTTTAACATGAGGCACTCTAGTTCACCCATCTTATTCCCACAAACAGGGAAGAATTAGTAGGGGAAGCAAAAGTGGATGGGAACCTGGGAGGCAGTGACCATGAGATGGTCGAGTTCAGGATCCTGACACAAGGAAGAAAGGAGAGCAGCAGAATATGGACCCTGGACTTCAGAAAAGCAGACTTTGACTCCCTCAGGGAACAGATGGGCAGGATCCCCTGGGAGAATAACATGAAGGGCAAAGGGGTCCAGGAGAGCTGGCTGTATTATAAAGAATCCTTACTGAGGTTGCAGGAACAAACCATCCCGATGTGTAGAAAGAATAGTAAATATGGTAAATATAGTAAATATGGCAGGCGACCAGCTTGGCTAAACAGTAAGCTAAATATTAGTCAAAAACACAAAACAGAAGCAAAAAAAGAAAGCAACATTGTGCGAATAACC